AAATTCAGTATCCATACAAGATTAAAGTACTCAGCAAAGTAATAATAGAAACTTCTCCAACCTAATGAAGGACATCTATGGAAAATTGACAGCTAACATTATACTTAATGGTAAAAGACTGAATGACCCCTAGAATCTCAAAGAAGACAAGAGATGTCCTTTCTCTTTCACCAGGTTTATTCACTGTTTAATGTTAGAGTACAGCGTAATACTGGAGTCCAGGGAGTAGGGCAAGGGAAAAAAGCATACAAGGCAGAAGCAAAACTGTAACATTCACAGTCACTGTGGTCATGCATGTAGAAAATCCTGAGGAATATTTTAAAAAGCAACTAAAACTAATATGTAAGTGTACTAAAGATATAAGATAAAGGTCAGTGTAAAGAAAATGAATATCTATGGACTAACTACAAACAACTGGAAGATGAAATTTTAAAAATTTTAAAAAGAATGCTTTGGCCTGGACCAGAGACTCACACCTATAACCCCAGCACTTTGTGGGGTCAAGGTGAGAAGATTGCTTGGGGCTAGGAGTTTGAGGCCAACCTGGGCTGCATAACAAGGCCCCATCTCTACAAAAAAGTTTTAGAAATTAGCTAAGTGTGATGTGCATACCTGTAGTCCCAACTATTCCAGAAGCTAAAGCAAGAAAATTGAATCCAGGAATTTAAGGCTGCAGGGAGCTATAAGTATGCCACTGTACTATAGCCTGGGCAACAGAGCAGACCCTGTTTCAAAACAAAAAACAGAACCTACATTTCTAATAGCATGGAAATATAAAAATCTTCGGGGAAAACTTTTAAAAAGATGCATAAGGTATCTATACTAAGAACCATAAAATAGGCTTGGCACCTATAGCTCAGTGGCTAGGGCACCAGCCACATAAACCAGATCTGGCGGGTTCAAATCCAGCCCAGGCCTATCAAACAACAATGACAACTATAACCAAAAAAAAAAAAAAATACCCAGGTGTTGTGGCAGGTACCTGTATTCCCAGCTTCTTAGGAGGCTGAGGCAATAGAATCAATCGCTTAAACCCAAGAGTTGGAGGTTGCTGTGAGCTGTGACACCACGGTACTCTACCCAGGGCGACAACTTGAGACTCTGTCTCAAAAAAAAAAAAAAAAAAAGAACCATAATAGTTTATGATCTGAATAAATTCCATGGTCATGACTGGTAGAATATATTGTGAAGATACCATTCCCCAGATTTATTTATAGAGTCAACACAATCCCAGTCAAAATCACAATAGCTATTTTGGGGAAAAAAAAATAAAAGATTGATCCTAAAATTAGTATGGAGGCCAGGCGCAGTGACTCACACTTGTAATCCTAGCACTCTGGGTGGCTAAGATGGGAAGATTGCTTGAGCTCAAGAGTTCAAGACCAGCCTGAGCAAGAGAGAGACCCCTGTCTCTACTAAAATTAAAAAAACTAGCCAGGTGTTCTGGCAGGTGCTTATAGTCCCAGCTACTTGGGAGGATGAGACAAGAGGATCACTCAAGCCCGAAGTTTGAGGTTGCTGTGAGCTTTGATGCTACAGCACTCTACCCAGAGTGATAGTAAGACTGTCTCAAAATAAAATAAAATAAAATTTGCATAGAACTAAAAGGAACCTAGAATAGTATAAACTGTTTTGAAAAGGAATAAAGTTGAAGGACATAGTCCATCTGGTTTTTAAATTTTTTCATTTAAAAGTGGATCACAGACCTAATTATGAAGCTGAAACTAAAAGACTTCTAAAAGAAAATAGGGAAAAATGTTCATGCCACAAAAACATGCACACACAAATATTAACTCTAAAAGAAAAAACTACTACATTGCATTTCATCAAAATTTAAATCTGGTACTTGAAAGACAGTTTTCAGAAAATGAAAATGCAAGCCACAGACTGAGAAAGTATTTGCAATATATGTATTTGACAGTGGACTTTGAAATGGTCTGCATGTTTGTGTCCCCTTGAAATTGATGTGTTGAAATCCTAAACTCCCAAGTTGATGGTAGTAGGTAGTAAAAGGTGAGGCCTTTGAGAGGTGATTAGATAAGTGGGGCAGAGCCCATGTGAATAGGAGTAAGTGCACAAGAAACCCAAAGAAACTTGTTTTCCCCCTTCTACCATGTGAGGACATATGGAGAAGGTGCCATTTCCGTGAATCAAGAAATGGGCCCTCATCAGACACCAGATTTGCTGGTGCCTGCCTCACTCTTGAACTTCCAGAACTGTGAAAAATAAACTTCGGTTATTTATAAGCTACCCAGTCTATGGTATTTAGTAATAACATCCTGAACAGACTGACTTATAAACAGAATATATGAAGAACTCATGTGATTCAATAATAATGAGACAACACTGCTAAATGATTGGACAAGAAATTGAGTAATCACAAAAGAGTATGTATCAATAACCCCAAAGCACATGAAAATATGTTTTATGTAATAATACTCCAGAAAATGCAAGTCAAAACCACAGGAATGAATAAAAGGAAAAAGACTGGAAATAGCAAGTATTTAAAAAGATGTGAAACAATGGATACCTCATACATTGCTGTAGGGGTGTAATAATTGTATAACACTTTGTAAAACAATTTGGCAGTTTCTTATAAACATATTATGCTTACCATTTGAACCTTGAACCTCCACTCCTTGGTATTTACTCAAGGGAAATGGAAATCTATAGCCATGAAAAGCTGTGTGTGTATGTGTATGTATATGTGTGTGTGTGTGTATTTGGTTTTATTTACACTAGCTAAAATAGGAGAATGGATAAACTATGATATATTTATACAATAGAATACTACTGAGTATTTTATCTAGTGAGTATTCTGTGATAGTGAGGTTACCTATATGCCCCAACACAAGGGATTGTGCAGTTAAAATATATACATTTTACTAAGTATAAGCCATATGTCAATACAATTTATTTTTTAAGTAAAAAAAAAAAAAAAAAAAAAGGATTCCAGAGCGTGCACTCTTGACTACTTTGTCAAATGAGGGATACCACATTTGCCCTCTCTATCATAAGCCTTCCTAGTTATTTTTGATAAACCTTTCCTTGGTTAGAAGCAATTTTTATACTCAGAATATCACAATATATTCTGTTAAGCAAATTGAATGGAAAACTCACTAAAATGAAGCATAGCACATAGACGGGATGTATGGGATGGTATGCATATCCTGGATTCCAATAATACTCTTTGGGATGTTGGTCTTTTAAAAATATTTATTTATTTATTTTATTTTTTAAGGCAGAGCCTCAAGCTGTCGCCCTGGGTAGAGTGTCGTGGCATCACAGCTCACAGCAACCTCCCACTCCTGGGCTCAAGCGAGTCTCCTGCTTCCACCTCCCAAGTAGCTGGGATTACAGGCGCCTGCCTCAACGCCTGGCTATTTTTTGGTTGCAGCTGTCATTGTTGTTTGGCGGGTCTGGGCTGGATTCAAACCCAACAGCTCAGGTATACACGTGGGTGGCGCCTTAGCTGCTTGAGCCACAGGCGCCGAGCCTGGTCTTTTAAAAATAAATGTAGTAGCACATGTTTGGTTTTTTTTTTTTTTAATTCTATTTTAGGGGCCATTTTTTAACATTATAATTCCAGATATTTAATGAGGCACTGTTTGATATATATTGTAAGGTACTGTTTGATATGTATTAAGGTACTGTTCCAGATATTTAATGAGATACTGTTTGATATATATTAAGTATAAAACCTTATTCCTTTATTTTTCTGAAGGCAAAGAGGTGGATGTTAAGTTGAATGGTATTATAGTTATTTTCCAATGAGTGCTGTATTTCCTATGTGTGGGCCACACTGGCTATATTCCACCTGGTCTAGTTAGAATGATGTTAAAGATGTAGAACCAGGGCACCTATAATATCGATAGGCTTTAAGGCTCTCTGTTAGCCATTCTGCAAAAAGTACAGGGCAATGCCAAATATTTGTAGTTTACCTTAGTTGTAGATAACATACCTACATATGCCATATGGAAAATATAAGAATAGCTTAGAATATCTTTGAGAATTTCTGGTTCTAAAGGGCAATTTTTTTGTCTGTCAGAATAACAGATCAGCTCTACACTCCCAGCAGCTTCCAGCTTTCTCCTTTATAGTGCATTTGAACTCCCATATTGAGAAGGAGGGAATCCTCTCAAACTCATTTTATGAAGTCAGTATCACCTTGATACCAAAGCCAGGAAAGGGCATACACACCCACATACACACAAACTACAGACCAATATCCCTAATGAATATAGATGCAAAAATCCTCAATAAAATTTTAGCAAACCCAATTCAGCACATCAAAAAAAAAAATAATTGACCAAGTGGGCTTCATCCCAGGGATGCAAGGATGATTCAACATACTTAAATCCATAAATGTGATTCATCACAAAAATAGAAGCAAAAACAAAGACATATGATCATCTCAAAAGATGCAGAAAAAAGCATTTGACAAAATTCAGTACCCTTGTGTGATAAAAAACTCTTGACAAAATAGGCATAGATGAAACATATCTCAAAATTGTAAAAGCCATTCACAACAAACCCACAGCCAACATCATACTGATTGGGGAAAAGCTGAAAGCATTCTCACTCAGAACTGAAACAAGACAGAGATGTCCACTGTCATCACTTCTATTCAACATAGTGCTGGAAGATCTACCCAAAGCAATGAGGCAAAAGAAGGAAATTAAGGATATCCAGATGGGTATAGCTAAGGCCAAACTATCTCTCTTTGTTCATGATATGATTTTATATCTAGAATACCCATACCCCAAAGATTCAAAATTCTTAGGATCAACCTGGGATAAAGGAACATCCAGAACTGCTTTAGAACAGACATACAGTCTTGGAATTTCACTGTGCTAATGGCACACACATTTAAGTTGAAAGAAACATCAGTGGAATCATGGTGGACACCCAAGGACAGGGACAAGCAGCAGGCTGATATGTGCTAACACTTAAAATCTGTGAATATTTACAGTATTCCTTTCTCTTCATCTTTTCTCTAGGCCTACTCTGTGTATGATGAAGACATTGGGTACTGTCAAGGACAGTCTTTTCTTGCTGCTGTGTTGCTTCTGCATGTAAGTATTTTCCATGTGATA